CCCTCCAGATCCCCTCAAGCAAACTGCTTCCACTGATACTGGGAGAAAACCATATGGGACCTGGTGTCTGGAGATCTTAAAGCACCTACATGAAGCAGAAGAGTTGATCAGTGATTTATCTGTAGGTAACAATAGGTTCTTTCAGATCAAAGTTGAATAGAGTCTCCTATTCTGAAAAGAATGCTCCCTAAATCCTTCTTATTAACATAGAACTGCAAAGTTACTGTTGCAGCAGTATTTGTGTACAGACAGAACCTGGGCACGTGTTGGGTATTTAGCTATCACTAAACAAGTAGGTAATGTTTCTATTGGGTTTTTTTCTGTATTTTCTCTTGTCATTAGTTGACAGAGCTCTGCAGCAGACACACAGCAGCACAGCCACCCTTCATACATCTATGGAGCCAAGATAAATGTCCTCTGTTTCCCTCACTTGGCTGATACACTAATTATCTACACAGAACCACAAACACAGAACAAGAACCTGCTGCAATGAAAATAACTATCATTGCTGGAATAAAAAAAGTGATTGCTATTGTTTTTTTATTTTAACTCCACAGGCTCACATTAATTCAGACAAAGCCAGGTGCAAAGCAATAGCTGCAGAAAGATTGTTGATCCCAAGTGCAAAGAAATACATTTCTGAAGAGGAGATGCCAGAAAAGAAGTGATGAGATGTGCTGTACATGGGACACCAGGGGAGGAGCCGCCAATTTCTGAGAAGGGAAAGCAAACCAGGATGGTAAAGGCCAAGGGGATCATGGAAGGTTCACAAAGCAAGAGAGGAAAAAATAAATGGATCCTTCAGCCATGGGATAACACCTTATTAACTCTTCTTACCACCTCCAGCCTGTTTGCTGGGGTTTTTGTAACAAGCTCTGCTCTCAATGTTTGTGTTCACACAGCTTCAGAACTACTCAAGGGTTTTCTTTCCCAACCAATAAGGGTTTCTTGAGAACCCCAAGACACCCCTAAAGAGCACTGATCTCTTAGAGCAGCCTCATTTTTGAGAGCACAAACGTTGCCTGTTAAAATTAAACATCATGCCATCAGTGACACCCGCGGGCAGAACGCGCCCGAGCGCTCCAGCTGCTCTTGACCCAATTATGACTGGATGAACACAGTGGCCTGGCCAATTATCTCAGAGCAGAACATGGAAAGAGGATTCAGCTTCCTCATGGAAACTTTCTTTCCTCTCCTTTAGTGCCAAGTGCTGTATTTGATGTTATGGGGGTACATTTTATTTCTTCTTCTTCTTGCCCAAAGGTCAACGGTGGAAGAACAAGCAGGAAAATGATCCACCCCTCTACAGCAGCTGGAACATGGAAATCTTTGAGCTGTTGAGGGCATGTGGCAGATGCTGGGGAGAGGAGGACATTCAAAGGATAAAGGGGAAATATGAGGGCACAACTGGCACCACAGACACCTCAGCCCCTCCGCTTCAGTTATTAAAATTTCCTAACCTTGCTATTTAATTTCACCGAGGAAACTGGGTATATCTTCTGTGACCTGAAGTCTTGCTTCAGAAAATCACTGATTCTGTAGCAAGACTGCTTTCATTAAAACAAAGGAAGGTTTCCATCATGCAAGGAGCTCCCTGTTTTGTGATCTCATGGATAAACGAACATTACTTAGGGAGTAATGAATGAATGAGCAAACTCAAGAATGCTCCTAAAGAAAATCCAGATATCTAAATTAAACAGAAGTAATGATTCAAAACTACCCTTAAAAAAACCATAATTCTGTGTGATTAGCTACTGTTTAAAGAATAACATTATGGCAGTTCATAGAAAATGTACAGGATTTAAAAGCCTCCAAGAACACAGCATGGCATAAAAGCCTTTGTACTGCTTTGATTTTTATTGACCTACAAGTCAATTTACTCCTCCCCAAGCATTTCAACCCAAGGTGAAAAAATCAGAGCAAGATTCCTAGAAATGGAGAAATCCAAGCGGAATGCAATCATTATCCAGAAATTTATCATCAACACAAAAGATGATACGCTTCAGTCAAATTCCATTCTTGAAAATATATTAGACTTATCCTTCAAAAGGAAATAACATTGTTTTACATTTAACTAAAATCTGGCAAGGTACTCAAGTCTTAATTTTTTTACTCTAGTTGAGATTAAAATGTTAATAAATGTATTTATATTGGAATAAAATCTAACTATTTTGTACAGTGTCTTTCACAGTATCTGAAGACCTACGTGAAAGTAGAGACCTTGGATATGCAATAAAAAAACTAAATTAATCTTCACAGTATTAGTAAAAGAAATTGATCTGCAGTGCTCAGTCATAGCTGTCCTCAGGAATATAGTGAGAAATACGTATTTTAACCATGTATATTAAGAAATACATATTCTCTACTCTTTCATGTGGAAAAGGATTTAAGAAAGACTTCCAATGAATATCTTTAATAACGGTGCTTTCACATCATTCACCCAACACTGAGCAGATAGGTCCTTCAAACCAAGCTACTCATACGTGATTAACGCTAATTATTATTTAAATTTTTTAAATAACCCAGCAAATCCACTTTTCATTTCGCCAAGCAAAATGGCCTCCGCTCCTATTTCATCTCACCTTCGCTGGGGCACAAAGCATTCCCAAAAATTACTGCTGTCAAAGATGGTTCCAATTTAACAGGTTTTTAAAATGCAGCATTGTTAAATACCCATTAAATGACTGAGTTACCTTCGTAAAGCGCCTGACAAATGTTCCATAAAGGACATTGGCCGTTAGTCAAATCAGATGTCCAAAAAACACATTTTTAGTAAACATATGCAAAGATTAAAAAAAAATAAATTAAAAATCTGTGCTATAATTCCATAAGAAACACCAGTGTTGTCTGTTGAACTCACTGCGAAGACAGAGGTGGATTTGAATACAAAGACCACAGGAAGGAACGAAGAGCAATTTATTTTCTCAAATGGAAAAATCTGTGTCCTTGAAAGCTGTGAGAGTCTCACTAGAATTTAAACAAACAATAGCTCTTCTAGGCAAAGCAACTGCCTTTTTTCCCTGATTTACATGTCATTCTCATGGCAGCAATGTTCAAATGACTGTACAGGGATATTCAAACTACAAAGAAAAGCTCTGTAAAAAGGCCAAACTCTGCTTCTCAGACTGTTCAGATTCCCTCAATAGCTGTGAAAATTCCCAGCTTTCCACAGAGCACCTGTAGTAGCATCGCTGATCCCCCTGCAAACAGAAAGCACAACCAAACTTGGGGCTCCAACCTTTGCCAGAAATGACCCCCAAGAGCACAAACCAGAGCTGGACTTAGAGACACCTCCCAGTTCCCAGGATTTGCTGAAGAGAGTCCCTCTCCTTTTGTAGTCAGTGTTACAGAGCGACACAGGAACTGGGACGAGCACTGGTGTGTAGACAGAATAAATCCATATAATTCCAAAACTGCCTTTTTTTTTAACGTGGGAGTTACAGCTCTGCCTTTGTCGGCAAAAACCAAAACAACAGCAGAAATTCAGGTGAGAGGAGGCTACAACTCTGAAAAGACACTCAAAAACAGATCCAGAGCTGAGATGAATCTATCTTGGGCCAAAAGAAAAAACGCAAAGATAAAAACCAATCCCTTGAACCATTTAAGGCTTTGTTCACTCTTACAATGCAGCGGAAAATAAAAGGCGAGGTTGAATTTTTCTTTTCAGAGGCCACCTGAGTATCCCCTTCCCAAGATTTCTCACAAAGTATATCCCGCTTTCATTGGAAAACCACAATGGTGGAAATGGAGAAATAAGTCCTGGCTTTGCAATATACTCTCAACCTCCCCCAAGAATCCGTTTGCTCCCTAATGGACTTCCTTAAGCCAGATTTCGATAGTCTGAGTCATCCATAGTGAAAAAACAAATGATTTCAAAAGTAAATTTTCAATTCAGTTTCATTTAGCTCCATTAGAGGTGTTAGTAAAAGCCACAGCCTACCAGTCTACAGGAAAGTACAGTGAAAATGCCTCTTAGTCTGAGCCTAACATCTCATAGGGAAGGTGGTGGTGAGCGGAAAACGTGTCATTAAAGATGCTTTACCAAAATGTCCAGTTTGGGTATAAAATAATCCATGCGTGATAAGCAATTCTAACGCTGATCAGGAAAGATTATTTTCTATAAACTCTTTGGACTAGAAAATCACCTTAGTTTTTAGAATATTGCCATTGCAGGCCTTTTTAATAAAGGCTCTTAGGAAAATATACCACGCCATCCTTACAAAATACATTGAAAAAAAGGGAGTAAGATGGTTTTTGAAGTGAAAACTCATAAAGATCATTTTCCATGCTGACAGTGTGCATTTCATCCAGAAGTTTGAAGAGTCAAATGCTACCCCAGCTGGGGGTTATTCTGCCAAATGGCTTCCAACAGTGACCACAGAGATGGAGGATGGGAGGGGTGCGTGTGTGTAGGAAAATAAACGTGATGGTAAGCGACCCCAAACCCACATCATCTTATCAAACATCCGACACACGGAACCAAACGCACAATGCAAATCTAGAATACAAAAACTGAAACAAAAAAAAACATGAACAAAAGGAAATAAAGCCATCTGTGAGTTACCTGCAGAGATTTAAAACAAAAAAAAGCACACGAACGAAGCAGATATAATTCACATGGATTTGCCCAGGAAGAAGAAAAGGAGGGGTGAGTGTGAGGGCTGGGGGGGAAAAAGAACAGATACCTTTTTTTCTTAAACAAATCCATCATGAAAGAAAATGAGACAAGATTATAAATAGGCCGAGTTATAGCGCACCATGGGATTTTTAATCTGGCTACCTGTGGTTTTTGCAGTTAAAGCCCTATTCAGTAGTGGGAAGGGAGGGGGGAAAGCGGAAAAAGAAAAAAAGAGGAAAAAAAGGAAAACGAAATCACGTTTATGTGCCAGTTTCGCAAATGCTCCCCCAGTGAGCACCACCAACAATGCTGGCAAACAGGAAACACTCATTATCAGCAATTTCTAATAAACGGACGCTTTTCAAGCGTTATTGATCGTTACCTGGCCGTCTCGTTTCCTGCTCTCGTGAGTTTGGCTCTCGTGCTCTGCCATGGTAGCGCAAAGCTGCTTCTCCAGTTTCTCGATCTCCCGTTGATGGTCTCGGACCAGGCAGTCCTGCACTGCGTTGTGCTGCTGGAATAGGTGCGTCTTCTCCTGTTCATGCTCCAGCTTCAGCTCCACTATCTGATTGGACAGGGAGGAGTACAGTTCATCAATAGAACATCCTTGTCGTCATGACAACTCGTCTACAGCTTAATTTCCCCCTTAATTTCATCAAGTTGGCAATTTTATTTTTACGTCACTATTACCTCACCTCTTAAAAAGCCACCGTTAGCGTGACAGAATTCCTCCAGACAATCCCAACAATGGAGACAACCGAGCAAATCCAGCGCATCCTTACCCAATTTGTTGGTACAAATGTCGGAAGCGGACAAAAAAATAATATAAAAAAAAAAAAAAAAAAAAAAAGGAAAAAAAAGGGGAGGCATTGTCGCATTGTGTGGCGGGTGCCCTCGTATCCCGCTGCTGCTCCTCAGCAGGGCTGAGGATCCTAAATGGTTAATAGGCAGTCTGCTCGCCCCTTCACTTAAGTATACACACACACAACCCCCCACCCCAGCAATTAAAGCTTTGCAAGATTTCTTTATGATTTCCAAAGCAAACGCTCTTCCTGCGATATTCCTCAACGCTGGCGCATAGAGTTGTCTTTTTTTTTTTTCCCCCTTAAATAAGAAAAAAAAAAGAGCAAGAAAATTATAAAAAAAACAAAGCTCTATTATCCCGTTGTCAGCTACGCTATCCCAACATAAACAGATGTATGTGTTCCAGAAGGGCACCTGCTGTGCCGCAAGCTTGCACCATGATTTCATAAGAAGCCCTCTATTCTCAGGAGCCGTTCCCAGTCCGCACCACACTGGATGCTGTGACCTTGGCCACTCTTAGCCTCTCCCCGCTTGCCTGAATGGCAGCCCGAGACCAAGGGCCTGGTTGCTGCAGCTTTGATATTAATCCTCCCGCCTGCGCACAAAGGCACCCTACCTGGCCTGCACACTGGAGCGGCCAGGCCGCCTTTGAAGCAGGTGATGAATAGGGACGGCAGGAAGCCGCTTCCCCACTGAACTCCGGGCCACACAGCTGCTAAGAACAGTCACTTGGATTTTTCTTCAGTTTTGGTGGATTTCGGAGAAGGAGGAAGGGGGGGAAGGAAGGAAAATAACAAAAAAAAAAAAGAAAAAAAAAAAAAGAGAAATCTCTTATCGTGAACATGGTGGGGTATTTTCAGCATGAGAAAGGAAAAAAAGAGCGGACGGGAGGAGCCGCTGTGTGAGCGCGGAGAGCGCTCGGCACCTTATCTTAAAGCTGTAGCATTCAATTCTGGAATGATATCAGCTGGTTGCCCAGCTTCCGCGGGGAAAATTTGAAGCTAAGTTAAAATAAATGTTAAAAAAAAGGGTATTTTCTCCAAGTGCAGATCAGCGTGTTGCAGGTTTAAAAGGGAAACGTGCCATCCGTGCTGCAGTTGGGAGCATCCTTCCGCAAACGGAGCGAGGAGAACAGATGCAATATTGCACGGTTTAACATATCTACATTATTTAATAACACTAAAGAGCTCATTAAGAGATGCCTGAAGTCCCTGCAGGGGTTAACCCCTCACATTTTCCATGCTGGGCCTGGGATCCTCACACAAAGTTCTTAATGCCAGGTTTTTGCCCAAGGTTTCTGTACAAAACTGGCTTCTCCCAGATGATCGCGGTGTCCATCCTGTGCCTAAGAGAAAGAGCTGTTGCTCCCTAAAATAACTGCAGTCTTAGCCTGATTTAGAAGAAAATATGTTTAGTGTTTCCTCATAAATCAGACCTGATTAAAAAGAAATCGTGTCAACAGGAGAGGCCTTTCCATTCAGACATTTTGTTGTCTTAATTACTGGGTTTTCAGCCAGTTGTTCCATGTAGGGCTGGGTTAAGGCAGTTTGCTGTGGGGAGCTTCAATTACTGGAGCTGTCACTTTTTTACCAGAAGACCCAGAGGGAGCAGGGAACACATCCTGCTTCTCCAACCAGTCACACACTTTACCACACTGGCCAAAGTAATTAGTTTTGTTTAGTCATTTCTTCACTTAACAGCATTTATAGGCACAAAGTTTTTTAATTTAACAGGTGGAATAAGCAAAAGGTTCTTCAGCAGGAGGGGTGTCCCCCCAGCTGGGAGGTGGAAAGAAAAAAGGCTGGTACCATGAGGGAAGGTGTTTTACAAAAGGCAAATTTGTTGAAGAAAAATTTTAAAACTCCCCTCATTTAAAGCTACGTATTCCCCATGACGGCTTTGGTTTGATACTTTAAGATGTTTCTGGCAGGGAGCAGAGGTGGAGAAACAGGAGAGGAGAGAAAGGATGAGGACGAGAGCACTCTCATCCCTCGAAGACCTCCAAATCCATCTTCCCTAATGAATATTAGCAGGTATTCCACATGTGAGTGAGCAGCCATCCCCTGCCCTGGTGAGCACTCTCTCAAGCTCCTGCTCTCCTCAGAACTGATGCTAAGCACTATGGCTTATCTTCCACTCCTCCCTCTATCATTCGGGTATTGTTATTGGGTTGTTTTGTAAAGGGAAAAAATAAATTAACATATAACAAAAAAATGGAAGGAGAAAATCCATGCTGCTTTTCAGCAACAACAGGACTTCTTCATCACAGGAAACTGCATGAAAACTGTATTAATTCTTCACACACCAGACAGATTCAGTCTCCTCTTTGAGGCAGAGAGTGCCTTTATGAATGATATAACAAAACCACTTCAAAAATTCTCTCGTGTTGAGATCTTGCTGCATCTACCCCTCGGTGCTGAGCACTTCATCAGATCACATTCAAGTGTCTGCTCCAATGCAGCACTTCAGTGTCCAGAGGACAGGCACTGGTAGGTGCTACACATTTCAGCCAGACAAGCAACACGACATCCACAATGGGCATTAGGGGCGATGTTGAAAAGGAACATTCATTAAATAATCGTGTGTCGCCCATTACCATAATCACAGGGCACTCATTGTGCCTTGGATGTTTCCTCATCTTGTCCTCCCAAAGATGAAAATCTCTTATTCCCTTCCCTGCACATCTGTTCCTGTCTCCAGCCATGGACACAAAACCAAGCAGGTCTGTCTGACCTGAGAGAGCCTTTCTTACCACTGCTGTTATCAAGTACCACAAATATATGAAAATTACGATCTCTTCTTAGCTGAATTTTTCATTTTTTAATTATTTCCACACAGTGTGATAGAACAACATTCAAAACAACAGCCAACAGGTGATTTATATCAGAATTACATTATTTATTTTAAACTTAGCTTTTAATTATACTATTACTTCTAAATTTAGCTTTTAACCGAAATTTAAATTTCCTTACTCTTGCAGAGAAAAGGATGTTAAGAAGAAAACAAAATTCTTAATAAAGAGATAAAAAAGATTAACACAAGAACTGTGACAGTCTCTTGGTGCTCACTCACACACGCTAACAAAAAGGTGCCAAACAAATCTGGCAGCGTGGTTCGTACTGCTTTAGGACAACTTGCTAAAACAAGAGACAATTAATACAGAGCCAAGGTGAAATCCTGCTGCTGTTAGCACGCCTGAAGAACAAAGATCGACAATAAACAGCCCCCTGGTTGCAGGAGATGTTTTCAGAAGCCAAAGATTTGTAATATAATCAACGCCAGCAAATACCTTTTGAAAGTCCCTAATTTAGACAAGGCCTTCTACTACCCAGATTTTGCTTTTACATCACACGCTAAGTTTAGGCTTTTCAATTTTAGAACAATTTCAACTTGTTCTCAAGAACAAGCACGCCTTTGAAATTCTTTTTAGAGTCCCCAAAGGAGGGAAAGGAAATTAGTTAGCTCACTACCCCTTTGAAAAATGTAACTGCTACAATAAATATTTGACACCAAAGTATGAAAATTCATGTAAATTTATGTCCGCAATTCCAGAAATATTTTAAGTAACACCTATATAAAATACGGTTTTGCAAGGCAGGATGATTTTATAAGCACTGTTTTGGCATGACTGAACTGAGGGCTGGAGAAGCCACCAATGTATTGCACGTGTCACAGCAAAGAACTGAGCTAAACTCACTCTGCAGCACACCTACGGCACGTCTGGTTTCACTGTTTCTATCCTACAATCATTGAAGTGTTTGTAAATCAGGTGTTTGCATGATTACCCCAGGCAGGGCACAGCAAATATATCTATCTATAAAATATCTATCCCCAAATAACAACTCCAGCAAAATAGAGCATTTTCTCTCTCCTAAGCCTATAAATAAACGTGTGTGCTCTGTGAGGATATGGGGATTACCCATCTCTGCAAATACTGCTGCTAAAGGTAATCTGATCTTGCAGGCTGGAGGAGTGAGTATTAATCACCCTGGGGTCTGGTTTAGCCTAACTTTGGGCAGAAAAGGAGCATCTTCACTGCGAGTTAAGAAAGAAAACCAGAATCCCTTTTACCAGAGCTCCTTTGCAGCAGGTAAATTAAATACATTTTTATTGACACTTTTTTGGGGGAGATTTTTGTCTAAGTTGACACATGAAGGTCTCTCAAGATACAAGGGCTGTAATGAGCCAAGGGCAAATGAGACAGTGAAAAAGACATCTGTGCAGAACCACACTTACCACTGAAGCAGTAGGTACACGTGGGGTAATGTACATGACTTCCTATTTCACTGCAGGCTGCAATAATTTAATTGGCATGACTCTGTTTTCTGTAATACTTATACCTTTTCATCAACCACTAATAATTATTTTTTAACTGCAAACTAAGAATTGCGAGAAATTCTCTAAAAGAAACAAGCTGGTCTTTAGCCAAACTGCAGTTTGATTTATCCTCTCCTAAAATTATGTACCTGAATGGTCTCACTCTCACTATATAAAATTATATTCCTGATCTGTACATTTTTACTTACAAAAGCTTTTCAGAATGTTAATATTTTTAAAGTATGGGCAGCACAAACCCTACCTCAATCATTCCATCTTCCCAATCTCCTGGCATGAGTAAATTTGTTTTTAAATCACAGAACCACAGAATTGTTTGGGTTGGAAGGGATCTTTAAAGTTCATCTGATTCCAAGTCACTGCCATGGGCAGGGAGACCTTCCACTATCGCAGCTCGCTCCAAGCCATGTCCAACCTGGTCTTGGA